CACACTTCTATGACGCCAAATAAGTCGCCTTGCTCGTGCGAAGCACTGGCAAACGGCCGGGTATGTTGTCTCCCATGAATACTTCCACTGACTTGTAACCTTCAGTGACATCCTCTCATTGGTTGACACCATGGCATTGGTTTACAGACCTTTGAAATCCTTTGAATCCAACAGAGCGCTTGCGGTGCCTGTCTTTCTTCCACTTGTCCCTGACCGCAAGCTGGAGTGAATGGATTTGGGCTAAGAATTCATCGGCTAAGAATTCAGCGGTATGCACCGTCAGTCCCACGGCATCCTGGAAACCACAAGGAAGAAAGCCTCTGGTGTGGCCAAATCCCACCTACTGCATCCAGGGGATCTGCGTTCTGCTCTCCAGGGCAAATCGCGTTTCTCTCCAACCAAAGCCCATTGCCTTGGAAGAAAACCTTCTCATTCACAAGCTTTGCGTGAAAGCGGGAGTACAATATGCCTAGGACCTAGGATCATAACTTAGAACTGGAAAAAACCTGTGAGCCAACGAAAAGGTTGGAGTAACACGGAAGGTTATGATTTTGATACGATCCATGAGAGGACACCAACTCTGCTCCAAGGAAGATCTGTGCGTGTGTGTCTGTGTGTGTGAATAATCTAAAAATTCGAGGGATGATGAACATTCGTTCAACACCGGTTGATCACTTGAGAACCACCCTAAAAGCAAAATACATCGAGTATCATCGATTCAACAAGCACGCTTGACATCCCTTCACTTCACGGTCCTGAATGCCAAACGCCCTGCCTGGGGTTGCTTGCATGTGGCACATCACCAGAAGGACTCCTGCAAGTGACCAAGTGTTGGAAGACTGTTGGCTCGGATATATACATGGAGACAGTATTATGTGCTTCCAGGAACAGGAAAACACAAACGAAACTCGCAGCGCGCTTTTGGGGTAACTACCAATTTCAAAATTTCAAGAATCCCTTCAGCAGCCTGAACAGGCTGCGACTTACACGAACCTTGGCAACTCTATGTTTGCATCCCCGCTTACTGTAAATTAAACAAGAAGATATATACATGTTCACCAAATAGCAACCACATTGACATACATTGATTGGGTGGGCGGAATCGCGCAAACGTTGGCAGGGTTGTCGTATGATCCAAGGGATTTCAAGGGTTCATCGATTGAACGTCGCTGACATTACAAATATGCAACATCATACAACTCTGCCAAGTGGCAGGGGCACCCAGTACAGTTGTTGGATACGCCAGTCCTGTCTGTCTTTTCGGTTTTTGCTGGGCTCCTGCGAAGCTCAGCCGCACGACGCGATTGGCGCGAGAAAATACAAAGGCGAGAAGAATTTGTCCAAAAATGAAGGATTGTAGTTAATCTTCAAGGCAGAGTTGTTTCCTAGAGGTCACGCAGGTGATCTCCACCAGCAGCGAAACAGAGGAGACAATCCTTGCACCAACAATAAATGCATCCCAAATTTGTTGACATGTTGCTAAGACGTTCCAAGGGGGCACGTTGACTTCTGCAATTACTTGGAAAATTGGTGGCCATCCTTCAGTTGTGATTGGGGCCTTCTTCCTGCGCTCTACTCCCAACATAGCACTGTGATTGGCCTTCGTTCCGCAGAGATCAATGTAGAGAAGAAAACAAAGAACAGCTGAATGGCTCTACTGGATTGCTTGGGACGGCGTCTCATGTTGCCTTTTTGCATTTGCATCGGATATATGGTTTTGAAGATCTTTGAAGTTGGTGTGATGAGAAGCCTCTAGTGGCATTCGTTTAGCACAAGAACCTAGTTAGACTGGCCGTTGCGATGTGTGACAAGAAAAGGCCGATGCCCTTCCGCGGTGTCTTTCCTAGTGCTGGAATAGCTGTTCGAGCTGAACTCGCATCAATCCCAAGCGCTGCCTGGAGCTGCTTGGTGGCAGCGCACCCGAAGGACTCCTGTGACTGCCCAAATGTGTAACAGTCTGCATGTTCTGAGAAGATGCCAAAAGAAAAAAAGTTGAGTCGAGAATTTATCGCCCCGCACTAGGCTCACTTCGTCAACAAATTCGTTCGCTGGCCCGATCTGATGGGACATGTCCCTGAGCACGAGGACTCAGCACTAGCATGAATAGCATCTTCCCTGGCCTAGGGCTGCTTGAACGTGGCGCTGCACCGGAAGGACTCCTGCAAGGTGCAGGACCAGTTGCAGGAAAATGTGCGCTTTCTGACGAGGGTGATGAGGTAACGACCAGATTCCATAGGAGGCTTGACCCTATACTGGTGATGTTCGGGTGGAGCTGGGCGGCAGAACGGTGGTGGCTTTATTGAACAATATGATTCACATGGCGGACAAAAGTCCACCTTACCTTTGATACGCAGATATACCCAGAAAGTCGTCCTTGTGAATTTCACCTGCCATGTTTTGTGTGTTTTGCTTCTGCAATGGATAGCCACTGATTGAGGACATCAAAGCATCGCGGCAAAAAACGACCAAAGGATCTTTGTATTTCCTTATGTCTGAGACTGAGATGATACAACATGCATGAGAGTAAACATCTGTCTACTCCAGAAACATGTATGACTCCTAAACAATCAAACCATTGAAAAAACGAACCAATACGTTTTTTCTGTTAGCAAAGCTCAGCTAAGCAACATTCTTCACCTACAAACACAATCCCAACTGCTCTGACCTCGGGCTGCTTGCAGATGGCGTACCACCAGAACGACTCCTGTGAATGACAAGGTGTCAAGGGCAGGATTCCCGTGCCGGGGGGCATCTCAACACGGAATCCTGCGGTGTGTAAGCCAAAACCGTGGATAGTCCTCAACTCATCGCAATTTCGGTAAATATTTTATGTTGAATACAAAGGATTGGATCGCTTGTCTCATTCAAAAGTGCTGACAGAACTGCCTTAATTAGTGCTTGAAGTCAAAAAAGCATTCTCTTTTAGCTTTGCGAGCTTGTTGCCCAAGCCTGCCCTGAGCCTCAGCAATTGCACGGTTGTGGATTCGCTTCAGGTGGGCAAGTTGTCAACCGCACCGCAGGAAATGGTGTTGCTTGATGTTGCTTGTACATGAACAAAGTGACCCAAGGTGCTCTTTGGGCAACCACATTTCAAGAGAACTCTAGAAACAGTACAAAGACAACTGGAAAAAAAATTGTTGAAACTCTATACTATACCATCTTTTCTTATATATACACATATATCCGGACGCAAACGAACGCCTTCCAAGGAGAATTATATACAACTGTTTCCCACACATGTTGCTACGGTGTCAGAAGATTTTGGATTTTGTGGCCCATCAACATGCACATCGTTCAATAGGTAGGGGCATTCAGTCCAGAGTTGTTGGGCACGTGACATGCCAGTCCTGTCTGTCTTTTCGGCTTTCATTGGGCTCCTGCGAAGCTCGGGTAGAAGTACAATGTTCAGTGTGCACATTTTCTACATCCAGTGGAATCAATCCAAGGAATCCGATGAAATCTAACCTAATAGCAATGGCCTCCAACCTAGTAGCGATGGCCTCCAACCTAGTAGCGATGGCCTCCACCCTAGTAGCCATGGCCTCCACAACGTTAGTAGCGATGGCCTCCACCCTAGTAGAAATGGCCTCCAATCTCAGAGCAATGGCCTCCAACCTAATAGCGATAGATCCAGTGGAATCAATCCAAGGAATCCGATGAAATCCAATCAAAGTCGCTTTTGTTCCCTCGTAGGAACTTTGCCCGAATGAATGCGAGTGATCCTGATGAGGGATTAGTGTTGCAATGCTTCAAAATGGCTTCCGCACTAAAGGATACGACACGGGGAACGACGCATTATTTACAGTATATATAGTATATGAATTATATATGATGTGTAGGTAAAACATTGTGGAGCAAGTTCTGGGCAGCGCTAGTCTAACAAATTGCCCCTCACTGAAGAACAAAGAGACGGTATCACCCACATAGTCAAAGCAGCACACTGCCCTACACACTCAAGTCTTCAGACACAAGCCACTCCACTCTCCAAATCTCTCCAATGTCCTGAGGGCTACAGCTGCGGATCGTTCGACACCCCGTCTCCTGGTCGGCTGGGCACTGAACACACATGAGTCATCATAAGTCTATATTCTTATACTCCATGTGTTCACTGCTTGGGAGTGACTTGGGAGATTCATTGAGCTCTTGATATTATATTGGGCTCAACACGGTCTAAGTCAATACAGGAGTGATAGAATCTAGATGCTGCAGGATGTTGCCTGTTGATTTGGGATTCTAAGCGTGACTGGACCAATGCGTACCTTAGATCCACTACTGAGTGGGGCTCACAATTGTGCGAAGTGCCCGTTCGTTGCTCTCACTAACGCATATTAACCTCATGCTAATACCCAAGTTTGAATGGTTTCCATAGCCCCCCAACGTTACGCTGAGCAACCACCTCGGGATGGGCAATCCACTTTGCAGCTTGATGTAATGAAGAGTAAAGCTATGTAAAGCTGATTCTGTTTGTCCCACGCGCCAGAAGCTAAGCCAAAACGCAACGGCCAAGAGCAGGTGGGCAAGAACAGCACAAACAGGAAAGCAAATCCACATCGAAAAATCACACAAGACCGCACTCGTCACTCTTCACTGAAAGGGTGTGTGCAATCCTTGCTGACTTGCGAGTATGCCAAATGTGCTGGATCGGATTTTCATAGCCTAGAGTGGAATCCTTTCCATTTGAACCATGGCACTGCATTGCTGTGTTTGTCTGTCTCTTTTTGCCCACCAAGTGTCCAGCTGCCTCAACTAGGCCAGTTGGGAGTGATGCCCGAACTAATTCTCAAGAAGTGAAGAGAGGCATTTCTCGAAATGGCCTGGATAGAAAAGAAATGAAAAGAATAGATACGGGCAGCCTGTGAGTGTTCTTGGTCAAAAAGAAACAGAAACCTGTACGAGTACCATCCTATACCCCCTGTCACATGTTGACCACTTTGTTGAAGGATGGTAATGGCTGTACAACGACCAGGTACTCATGATTCATACGTTCACTAATAAATCACCCAGGTCATTGCTCCTTCTGAAGTTAGACCCTAATTTATTGTGACTGAGATGATGCAGGATCCAGCAATCCCCGGTGACAAGATCCATAGCAGCTCAAGTTGTTTTGCTTGCCTCAGCTCACTGGATGGCTTGGCCAATGTGGATTTCACTTGGACACGAACATCAAACTATCAACCCTCTTACCAGTGAAGTCTGAGAGCTCGAGGCATGGGACTCATACAATGAGAAGAAGAATTGTTTGAAGCGCAGACTTGGTTCTATCAAAAGAAAATACAAGCTCGTGCTTCAAGCAAGAATCGATGCCTCGCCCTAGTACAGTACAATCCTTGAATTCAGGCCAACAATTTAATGATGGTCTGGTTGAATTGGCCTACAAGCAGGTTGCCTTGAGGTCTTGAACGTTTGTCAACAAAAGTGCCGCCGTTGCACTGAGTAAATATTAGAATTATTGTAATATACAGTTAATATACATATATAATTGTATATATAGCTAACTGCTGAATATCCAGGGCGCACGGTTCAAGTGTGAATGCTGGATGCAAACAACAAAAGAACAAGCTGGGAGTCCAAGAACACATCCCTAGCTCTAGTTTCTATATATACTACACCAATCTGAGATGGGAAGGCCAAACAGGGGTATGCATTGGGTATGCACTAGTAACAAGTGCACCGCTACTAGCGAGTCGCGGTTTGATCCGAGAAATCTCCAGGCCCAAGCCATCTCGTCCCTCTGAGCACCTGGCCGTCGCCGCCAGGAGGATCCGCCCATGGCGGGAACGGATCCGCGGAAGTGGGGTGACCAAAACCTGGGAAACCTCAAAGGTGTCAAAACCTCAAAGTGTCATTTACATCAAGGTGTCAGAAGTGAATGAAACGGGCACGGACAAAAGAAATGTCCACCAAAACAAGCGATCTCCCAGCCCGCAATCGCATGTCAGCCCCTTACTGACTAGTGAAGTTGGGTTTACTTCAACATTCCATTGGCACGTTGTTCTGCAAGGGGTTTGGGATAGAGCCGGCTCTACAGGGTTGGCGGGGGGAATAGATGTTCACATGAAAAAACACACCATATGTCATATGTTTTGAGGTTGCTTGATGTTTTGCAAAGACAAAATATTTGCTCTGCAAATCCAGGTTGGCATCAACCTACCAATGTTGCAAGGCCTGGCAGTGCTTTGCCCCCCATCTTTCGATAGATGCACACTGCAATGAAACTCAGGGTTTCCATAGGGGCTTGCCGACATGGAAGCTGCATAATCCAACAAGAATCCAACAAATGCCACATACCCCCCAAAAAAGGATCCACTTTTGGATGACGCCTTTGTGAGGCATTGAACTGAATACAGTATCCAAAACCTTGGCAAATATCAGTTGACTTCTGTCTAGCCTGGACCAGTCTACCACACTCTACAACACGTACACAGGCAAACGGGGTCACGTGAAGCTTAAACTCCCAGTTTCGGACATTAACAACATGGCCTCACAGGTCACAAGTAACTCACAAGTCATTCCGGTAAAATAAGATGGCGGCAAGGACGCTACTAGGGGCTCCTGGCCTTACTACTAGGAACAAGGACGCTACTAGGAGCAAAGGGCATCGCTACTAGGAACAAGAAGCTATTAGAAACAATAAACAAATTAGAACCATATATCATATATCTATTGTATTCTTCTTTATTTCTATAATGTGGAGCGCGGAAGCTGTCAAGCCAGGGGAAAACTAGATAATGGAGGACCTTCTAGAAACGGTGCCATCTACCAAGGTGATGCCAAAACACACCTGAAATAAAAGAACACACAGATCATTGCAACTGGTCGCAGTAGTTAGTAGTACTGCTTTTAAGCTCAGGGCAATCTCGCGCGCGTGTCGGATCATGTGGCCCGCATTGTACCGGCTTCATGAAGTTGGGGGTGGGTCTTTGGGTTGGGTAAAGCAAATGTAGGTGTGGTTCACAGTAAAGCTCATATCACATTGCGGCTGCATTTGGGAAAGCAGAATTTTCGCAACTCACTGCGAAATTCTGCACAAACAAACAATAGAAAAAATATATATATACACACCACATTGAGAGACAGCCAGAGACACCGCATACCGCGATAGCACACGCGGAGGCAGCTGGAGACAACTGGACACAGAAAAGAGGCGCGCGGCCCAAGCAATCCAGCACAGCTTGAGACAGCCAGAGACAAGCAGAGATAGCCCTGCGACCAGCAAAAAAAACAAGAACCCTCACAGGTAAATCTGCTTGGTTAAAAGAAATATGACAATATAAACACAGGTGGCAATCAGATGTGACAAACACACAATTGCACCATACATCCCAGCAAACGACCCACAAAAACATCCTGCAAACTTCATTTGTGGCTTGTGTACTGAAGCATCAAAACAAAAATGGACACGGTAGAAAAACACAAGGACAATGCTTGCGATCCACAAGCTCCTCACGAGTATGCATACTGTCACACATTAATACAAAATCATATACTGTAAATATACATTCCTCAACGAGGTGCCTGCAATGCGGAGACCACTAGCAAGACATTCTCAATAACCGGGTCCCTGACAAGTCCCTCCCTGGCAAGCCAGTCCTTCGTTGGTCTCCCCGATCGCCACTCCTCTCACGGCTTCGTCGTGGCCTTGGATCAGCGCTTTCTTTGGAAACGGCTTGCTAAGGTCCATGGAAATGCCCATGACACCCAACATGCTGCGACACTTTGAGCACTGACAAACATCAGCTTTAAAAACGCTCCTCATGTTTGATCCCTAAAGGTCGATGGAGTAGCAACACAGTCACACACCAAAAATAACATTCAAATTCCACATGGCCATTTCTTTACAAAGTTTGGCTCGTTGATTGGCATTCTTTACCTGGCCTCTTCACCTCATCTCTTTGCTCAGAACTGGTTGAGGAAGCTGCAGAAGCACCTGTCCTAGCACAAACTTTGCAAGTACAGCTCCCACAACGTTCATTTGGCACACAAGCACCAGTCTTAACAAACTCGCGCTTTTCGGGGCAGAATCTCTGCTCAAGAATCATGTGTTTGGATATCCAAGGTTTAGACTATCAAACCTAGGGACAAAATCCTGCCAGTGAATGTTACATATGCTCGTTCTGCCGCCTTCTCTTCACAACCGCTGCGGGTGCAGCACACACTAACCACTGGTGAAGCCGCACGGCGCGCCAGACGGAAAGCACCCCCGCACATCCATCTTGCGTTCACAAGTCATGATTGCACTATAGTGGCCGCGTCAAGTTGCTGCTACATCCAAATCATGACAATCATCACAACGCACCGTGAATCACCAAAAAAATTGTCGATCACCACTGACAATCACGGCGAATCAAAGTCGTGGATCAACTCGCCACTTGTTAAACGCACGTGATTATATCTGCAGGTCTGCATTGCGCCGACTGCTGAAGGCAACCCGCTACACTGCTACACAAGGAAGGGAGTCCATGTCATCTGCACAAGCGTACAAATCTCTCGGCACAAGCTTGCCCGCTAGCATCAAGGCAGCCTTTGCTGGTTGTCCTTCGTTAATCAACTTATGAAGTCAACCCAAGCTAGCTCTCGGCAAGCCAACATGAGTAGTGAACTATATGAGTTACCTCAGCAGATTCAGGAGCTGCCTGCCACATTTAACCTATGCATGCTGATTTTGCACAAGTTAACGCGTCACTGGGCCAGTAAGCATGTGTCCATGACTAAGCACCTTTTTCTGTATATTCTTCAGGGGACCCAAGGCAAACACTTTGCCACTGAATATTAGTTGGCCCTGATCGCCTGACTTTCCGGTTTCCATCCTCTTTTCTGCTGACCTTTGGCTTCTGGATTTGAGTCCTGCAAAGTCGCTATCCAGCGCAGGAAATCAAGCAATTTCGTGAATTCTGCAGGGGAGTTTGACGAGCCCTTCTATGCAAACCACCTGTTTACGTTTGATGCAATTGAAATTCCAATGCCACGCAACCGACCCGGCCATAGAGTTCATCCCTCTCAGACAATACGTGCTGCACATGCCACCAACAATTTGAATATATTGGATCTGACACCAGCAAACCGCACAGTGTACAAAACGAGGCTGTGTGAGATGAGTTGGGCTGTGATGGTGAGTTTCCCTGAGCTATTCCCTTCCCTAGGCTCACTAGCACTACCAGCATTGCTTTGGAACTAAAGATCCCAAGGCAAAGGGCCTCGGCTAAGGGCCAACTGACTACTAGCTAGCATACTAGCAAAGCATGGTGCTGCCACCTCAAAGCGCCCCAGACGTTGTGACTGAAGCGAGTTACATCTTCCATGATAGCCTTAAAATGCATGTACAGTAGGGGAATAATACCTTACCTTGCTCATCAAGCGCCAGAAATCCCGGAGCATGTGGGCACTGATTTGGGCAACCGGGCTTGTCAGTATGAGTATTGTTGGTAGACTTCCAGCGCGACTTTGCAGTCCCAAATGATCCATCAACTTGCAGTATCCTTTTCGGAGTCTGCCTAGCTATGGTCTCACAGGCTCTGTGAAGCAGAATGGAGTTAGTTAAGATGGTTTTGTTGAAAAGTAGATCTTCTGTATCTGGTTCCCTTCCGGGCTTTGCATCCGAAGTCCTCACAGACACAGATGCCCTGGGTATCTCAGTTGGCTCGCCTTCACATCTACCTGAACGCCAGAAATGGACTTCCAATGGGGCAGCCCAATTACACCAAACTTACAAATGGTCTGATCATCATGATCATATGAATCATATGTACTTGCACCCACAAAACGTCATTGGGGAAAAGACTCAGAAACGATGATGGCCACACTTGCAATTTGCAATAAAATAGCCTACTTAAACCAAGATACCCTTCTGCTGATCCAAGCTTTCGGTCCCAGTTTGCATGGCGTCCATGTCGGACTCGTCATCACTTTCTTCCTGACAGCTGAGCAACCCTGATTCACAAGCTGCAAATTCTGTCTTCTGAAGCCGAGGGGGCTGATGGTGTTTGCTCTGAGCTGTGGAGTCACGACTTTGCTAGGTCGAATCTTTGGACTTGCGCTGAAACATGTAATGCAATGCTCAAAGCTGCCTGCAGGCTGTCGACTGTCAAATAAGCCCTTCAAGACGTTTCCTTGCCTTGGAACATTCAGATTCCTCGTGAATCTGCTCGTGCTGAGGGGATGCCTCCTCAGAGTCCCTCAGCTGAAGTCTTGCTGTGTAATGAAAGAGATCTCGTGGGCCAACAGTCAAACTGAAAGTGTCTGATTATATATCGGCAGAATCGTTTCCCTTAAGAACTCCGATTTCACATCGTTTCCCTTAAGGGAATCTGCGATCTGAGCGACTCTCGCTCTTGATGCCCTTGATCTATCCTCGCATGGATGGGTTGCTGTTAAAGTTGCCCTTTTCCAGATTAAAGGGTCTCCTTTCTTACCAAAAACTTGAAAATAGTGATATTTCAGTCCACAAAGCTTTGATCTCCTCTTTGGCTAACGTAATCACGCCAAAGTTGACTCTAGAGTGCAACTCGCAAACAATGATAACTACCAATTTATGCGGTCAGAGTCATGGATTGTGCCTATGCCAACATGACAAACCTGCCGCAATGGAAGACCAGTCTTGGATCACTGATGTCCTTGAAGCTCTCCGCTCAAGCTGCATGTAACGACTCGGGACCTATGCGCAGTTTGATTGCTCAGGAAACGTTTGACTCTGTTGGATTCAAAGGTGCGTTGCAATTGCTGCAATTTACAATCAAACTCTCTGTCTCGAAGCACAAATCGAAACAGCACGAATAGCGAAGCATATCCAAACATTCAGAGAATGGGCCAACTCGTCTACAACCTATCACGCTGAAACACTTGTGTCAAACATGTGGTGTGTGTGTGTCCACACCTGTACCAAAGGACACTCACCATTGCACGGTAATCCATGCTCCTATTAATTTTCAACTAACCAAGCAGGGGCCACAGACCTGCCACTGCCGCTGTGGCCAACGAAGACCGGCAGTGGCAGGTGTGAAAAATTTTTAAGCGTTCCTTCGGCAGACTTGCACTTGCGCCTTTCGGCCTCACTTCCGTTTCAGACGCCCAGGGTCCTTTGGGCTTCTCTGCAGACTTGCACTTGAGCTTTTGGCCTCACTTCCGTTTAAGACCCCCGGGATCCTTTGGGTTTCTCTGCAGGCTTGCACTTGAGCTTTTGGCCTCACTTCCGTTTAAGGCCTCGCAGGATTTTGTTGGGTTTCGCCTGTCAAGGTCTAACTGCACTGGTAATGTAATCACTAGAATGGGCTGCCACAACTGGTTTAGCTCTTGCGAGCATCCATCTAAGTGTGTTTCGCCACAGAGTCCCACTGCGGGCTGTGGTGTGATCCCCAGCGAGGGACGCAGCATGTGCACATGCCCGCCAGGGTGATCCTCACCGATTTCTCGTTTTGAAGAAGGAACTTCACTCGATTAACGTACTTGTTTGAAAATGCTGAATGTAGGCCGCAGGGCTCACTGAGATTCACTTTCAGAGAATGTCATGACATGCCGCTAAGTATTTATTCACACGTCATGCTGCTAAGTATTTATAGGCCATAGGACTTTTCGGTTCTTTCTCTCCTGCTGTCGCTCTTCGTTTTCTAGGTCTTCCTTCGTTTTCTAGAGGCTTTTTTGGGTGTAATTCAAGCCTTTTAGTCAAGAGAGCACCGTTTACGGCTTTTCGTCAACGCCTTCGGGCATGGACCCCCCCTCACCCCTCGCACCTTTCGTTCGTTGCCTTTTTCGTTTGCTTCAGGCTTGTTAGGTCGGCGTTTACGCTCGTTTAGTCGGCGCACGCCCTGCCCACACCCCCCGCACCCCTTGCACCTTTCCTTTCTTTCCTTGCCTTTTTCGTTTGCCTTGTTCTTTCTTTCAGGCTTGTTAGGTTGGCATCCAGGCTTGTTTAATCAATGCCCTCCCACACCCTCTCCCCCCCCTGCGGCACTAACCAAGCCGGGGCCACAGACCTGCCACTGCCGCTGTGGCCAACGAAGACCGGCAGTGGCAGGTGTGAAAACGTACCTGCACCAATTTTTCAGCGTTCCTTCGGCAGACTTGCACTTGCGCTTTCGGCCTCACTTCCGGTTCAGACCCCAGGATCCTTTTTGGGTTTCTCTGCAGACTTGCACTTGAGCTTTTGCCTCACTTCCGTTGAAGACCCCCAGGATCTCTGGGTTTCTCTGCAGGCTTGCACTTGAGCTTTTGGCCTCTCTTCCGTTTAAGACCCCCCAGGATCCTTTGGGTTGCACTTAAGCTTTTGGCCTCACTTCCGTTTAAGGCCCCCCAGGTTTCGCCTGCCAAGGTCTAACTGCACTGGTAATGCAATCACTAGAGTGGGCTGCCACAACTGATTTAGCTCTTGCAAGCATCAATCTAAGTGTGTGCATCCCACACCTTCAGTCCGAACCCACAAAACGCAAAGCAGAAAGTGAAAACAAACCCGGACAAAAACTCCCAACAGCCTCTGGAATTGATGTCTTTTTGACCTTCTTGATGGTCTGGGCCACCTCTTTGCATGCATCAGCGGGCACTGGATCATCTTTGGTAGAGCTGCTTTCAGACGCATTCTCCAAATCCTCAAGAACGGGGCTGGAAACAAGCGAAGGGCCCTTGCTACTTGTAGCTTCTTGTTCCTAGTAGTAATGCCAGGAGCGCCCCTAGTAGCGCCCTTGCTCCTAATAGCTGGCCCAGGCACCCATCTTGATTGCATCCAAAAATAGGTTCGGCTGTGCATGGTTGCAATCCCCGAAGAGTGGCAACAAGAAAGCCGCCCTAATCGTCTTCGTAGTAGCAAAGAAACTGACGATGAAAAAAGGGAAAGTAAGATCCCGTTCAAGGAGGGCCCGACCTTCATTTTATTCATCCCTGTTCTCTTCTTTATATAATGTTCTCAAAATATGCTACTGATTATACTGGGCTCGATGAGTGGATACAAAAGTCCATGGCGCAGCCAACTGTTTTTGTATATTTGAGATGTTCTTGAAGGCATGTTCGTTTCAGCGCATTGTTTGAAGCCCCTCCATAATTGGTCCAGATTGAAACAGCACAGTGAACGCAAGTGTCCCACATGTTTCCTCGAAGTTCAAGGCATTGCGCACCACTCCACCTTGGAGGGTCGCCCTAGACTTTGGCAGTCTTTTTCCCTGGGCTCTGAGCTAGTTGACTGCGCAAGGTCCAGACTTCAGGCATGTTCTCTGAAGTTCGCACATTGTTGGGAACGCCACTTCGGTCTGGTTCAGCGCACTGGGAATGCAAGTTCAACCAAATGCATCAGATCTTGCAGTTGCTTCGTTGCGGAGAATGTTGGCTTTCACTGCTCAAGCATTCCGCCACCTTTGCAAGCATACCACATTCTGTGACTCACCTGTTTGCGACCTTCTCCTGAAAAAATAGATACGCCAGCATAGACCCAAAACATCATTGAATTCCAATGTTGGTGGTAACGTTTGCATTGGGAATGGCATGCGCACTTAGTCATAGGGTTTTCCGTTAACTCTGTTCCACGCGAAAAGGGACGAAGCAACGGAATGGCGGCTGGGTCCAGTGACTTGAAGGTGTTTTAACAAAAGAGTTCGCGCGTGACTGCAGAAAACTTGTTACTGAATACTTAGCAGACCAAGGAAAGGGAAGAGTGAACCGAAACGCGAATAGTCAGAGTGCTTGAAGGTGTTTGAGCAAAGGTTAACGAGTGACTGCAGAAAACTAGTTACTGAATACGTAGCCGATCGAATTAACGCCGTGCATAGAAAAGGTTTAGGGGAATATCACGCAAACACCATGCAAACAAACCACAGCGAAGGAGGAGGTCAACAGTTCAAATTTCAGCAGGTACGTGGAAACGGCGTCCCATTCCCATATCCTCGGATACATCGCCAGCTTCGTTGACCAGGCGACGATGTATCCTGCCTGGTCCCCTGCTTTGGCAAAACTAAGAACCCTTAGATCTCTTAGAAACAGAGTGTGACACACACACACACACACGGAGCCGCTTGGCGGCGCTCCCGGGACGTGCAGGTCTGCCGCGCGAGCAGCAAATTACGGGGCAAAACCTGAATAGGAACCTAAAGCCTTAGAACAAGAGAAAGAAAAACAGAAAGAGCAAAGCAAAAAGGGCAGGAGAGAAAGATAGGGGTTCGGCCCTGCGGCGCTCGATCAGCAATCTCAAGCAAAAACGACTCGAGCCAGTGGGGTTTCGAGAGAAGATCACGGGAGAAAACGCGGCATGAATCAGTGGGATTTCCCCAGACATGGGTCTATGCACATGCTGCGCCCCTCGATGGGGGTCACACCACAGCCATCAGTGGGACTATGTGGCAACACACACTTCGATTGATGTTCGCAAGAGCTGAGTCGGTTGATGAAGTTCCCCTTTACACTCATTAGCGCTTGACTCGATGGAACAGAAAGGTGAAAGAGTCCGGAAACCAGAATTGTTGAAACATCGCTCATTAGCTCCTTACAGCAATTGAAACAATTCCTGCAGGTACATGGTTGAGCGTCCTCAACCACTTCCCATCTCGCTGCCTAGCTTTGTTAGACCAGGTCAGCAACGAGATGCCTGGTCCCCCTGCCTTTAAAGTTTCTTTGTGTATGTCCTTTGAAACAGGAAGCGACACACACACACAAAAAGAAAAGAAGCAAAATAAAGAAAAAATCGAAAACACTAGTTCCTGATTCCCAAGGTCACATGTGTAAACACGAAGAGACACAAATGTCATGAAAAATCCGAGGATGATATCAAACGCTGCATCAGAGTTGCATTCATAGTCATAGTCGCAAGACAAGGCGGTGGAGAAAAGCCGCGTGGCCAAAGCAGGGGATAAGGCCGGGACAAGGTGGTGATGAAAGGGCCGACAACGCGCACAAGCAGAACAAACCCGGACAAGGCGTGGACAAAGCCCTCACAAGGGAGGACGAGGCCGCTAAACTGTTTGGGGAAGAAGAGGACAATAGGAGGACAACACCCGGCCACAGGGTTAAGTGTCTTTGCGTAGCAGCAGAACACCAGGAGGACAAGAGGATACAGGATTCGCCAATGACGGCGTTGATGAACGGAATTTGCCAATGCACGCCAATACCATTTTTGCAAAACGTGTTTCTGGTAGATGAATTTGCAGCAATCAGTTGGCAGCAAATTAACCTGCTGCTCCAATTACCGGATAAGTGGCTGATGTGTGCGCTGCAGTGCGCGCGTTTTTTCAATTTCACGCAGACTCGATCGCGCCAATCAATCCATGCCTGTTCACTCCCCGACCCCTTGCGCCCCCTCGGGGAGACTGGACTGTTTGAATGCTGTGGGTATGTCCAAGATGATGCTGCATCCCTCTTGGTGACGGTTTGGCAAAATTTTGCGTTGTTCAGCACGGCTAACCTCCATGACGGTGAGGATGAAGTTGCTTTTCCTGCTCAGCATCAGTGCCCTTTGGCTTGCCAATCTCCTTGGCAGAGCCCTAGCTCTTCATGACGAACCATCTTTGGGAAACTGCAGGTGGGCATGAAATAGGATTCGAGAAGTTCCATTCAACCACTCTGAACGGCCACACGAAAGGATTGTGTGGTCGATCATCTAGCTGACCAGAACTGGTTGTCCCCACCCGTCCAAAGACCGAGCCCAGCGACGATTCTGTGGGTACGAGGCATCAACACCTCCGGATACATGTCATCTGGCAGATCATCTGCCTCCTTGGATTTTGCACAGCAGCGGCGTTGCTGGAAAAACTCCAGTTGTTTTGATCGAACCAAATAGTTGTCCATGTCAAATAGTTCCTTGCTTCAAGCATCTCATTTGATTCACCAGTGGGCAAACTAGAACCACCTCACTGTAATGCCTTGCCTTGTTCAAGCAAGGTACACCCCATCCCTCTTCCCCCTATCCATGTCAACAAAGTGTTGCGCACAAAAGGCACAAAGCTCGAGTCGATACCAAGTTTCAGCCGGTGAAAACGGAGTCGCCTTGGGCTCACGATTTGCCTTCGCGACTTGCGCTGCCTCCTTGTGATGACCATCTCTTCCCACCGGGTCCTCTGCAGCGCTCTTGATAGCGCTTTTGTGGAGCACACACAACTACTGTTTGGTGACTTCTCAGTTGTTTGAAGCTTAGATTCACCTACACGTACATAGAAAGTAAAAGTCGTGCTACGAAAGGAAAGGACCTCACCTTCAACCCAGCAAAAAAAGAAAAGGTGGAACCCACGAACCCGAATGCAAACACGCGCTCGAAAACAAACACCCGAACAATTTTTGACACTCTTGTAGGAGACACTTTTGCGGGACACTCTTGTAGGACACATTTTTTCGGAAAGCTTTGTGGGACACTCTTGTGCACTCTTGTGGGACACCTTGTATGACACTGACTCTTGTGAGACACTCTTGCAGAAGATTCTTGTAGGACACTCTTGTGGGACACTCTTGTAGGACTCTCTTGTGGGACACTCTTGGGCACTCTTGTGGAACACTCTTGCGGAACACTCTTGTAGGACACTCTTGTGGGACTCCCTTGTAAGAAACTCTTGTAGGACACTCTCGTGGGACACTCTTGCGGGACACTCTTGGCACTCTTGTAGGACACTCGCGGGACACTCTTGTAGGACATTCTTGTGGGACACTCTTGCTTGTCACTCTTGCGAAACACTCTGGTAGGACACTCTTGCGAAACAGTCTTGTAGGACACTCTTGTCGGACACTCTTGTGGGACACTCTTGCAGGACACTCTTGTGGGACACTCTTGTAGGACATTCTTGTGGGACACTCTTGCTTGTCACTCTTGCGGGACACTCTGGTAGAGCACTCTTGCGAAACAGTCTTGTAGGACACTCTTGTGGGACACTCTTGTACGTCACTCTTGTGGGACACTCTCGTGGGACACTCTTGTCGGACACTCTTGTGGGACTCTTGTGGCGCACTCTTGTGGGACACTCTTGTCGGACACACTTGTGGGACACTCCTGTAGATTTGTGTAGGACACTCTTGTGGGACACTCTTGTGGGGGACTACTAGAGTCTCCAAAAGTTACAGTTAACCGTCACGTCTCCAGAACAAGCGTTTAACAAGCGTTTCGTCCAAAAGTCACGCGTCCAGGTCAACTTCTCCTAAACGAGCATTTCGTACGAGAGTTCCTCCAAAAGCATCCAAAAGCCAAGCGGGAACCCGCATCGGAGCACGCACATCAAGCAACCCTGCCAAGCAGTTTCGCGGTTCCAGCCCCTCCAAACAACGCCCACCCACACGCCAATCCCAATGTCACAGCGACACTCACCTCCACCACAACTCGCAACCTCACGATTCCCTGCGCCTGCCACGAAAATTTACGCGTCCACACGTCTGACACACACAAAGCACGGCGCCTGCCACGAAATGTGACCAGCGCCTTATCGCCCTACCGTCCGCGAACGGCGGCAAACGGTTGCGAATGGTTGCGAACGGTCGCGAATGGTTGCGATCGGTTGCGGACGGTTGCGAACACTGAGACAACGAGTCGCGAACAAGGCTCTACCCGGAGACCCCATAGTTAAACGAGAACCCTTCGCTACGCATTCGGGAAGGACAATCTTCGCTTTAGCCAGCAGTCTCTCCTTCGGCTCCGGATTGGGGTCGGCAGGTTCCACAACCTCTTCAATGTCGTCGTGTTCCATAGGATCGTCCACAAGGCTCTCTTCTGATTCTGTGTGTCTAGAGCGGGTGCCTGGCAACCTTCTGGCAAACTCCTCAAAACATATCACTCAGGCAACCACTCTAAAGAAAGCACAACTCGAACACTCATCTTAAACAAATACAAATCCAGCTTCTGGTGGTCGAATCGGAGTCTCCTTCGGTTCCAGTTTGGTCTTAGCAGGTGTTGATGCCTTTTTGTGATCAAGTGCCTTCTCCACCGATTCCTCAGAAGGACTCTTGACATGACTGGCAAGTCTTATGAAACAGACTTCATTAAGCTCCCAAGTCTAAGCCACAACAAAGTGTTGCACACAAGAGCACAAAGCAGGAGGAAAGACCAAGTTTCAGCCGGCGGAAACGGAGTTGCCTTTGGCTCACGATTTGCCCTCGCAACTTCTGACTCATCCACCGGTGGGTCCTCTACAGCGCTCTTGATAGTGCTTTTGTGGAGCAGCCACAAGTGCCAATTGGTGACTTCTCAGTTGTTTGAAGCTTTCATTGGCCTACAGCTGATGTCGACCCCCATTAATTAGTCAGATGGGAAGGAGTAACAAAAAGTGTTCGCCCCACCCTGAGTAGTTTTTGTGCGTTGGAATAGTAGATGATTTTTGCGCAGAGTGTTTTTTTGAGGTCTGCTTTGTCTGCCTATTGGTTTAGTGTTCTATTGTTCAGCTGTTGTGTCCCTTTAAGACCTTGTTTAACTTCGAGGTTTGCTAGTTTCCTGAACTCTGACCAGAAAACCTGTCTCAAAAACCCTTATGAAAACTCATTGAAATCATTGTTCCCCCCATTTTTCAAGGAGGCAGTACACAAGCCCGGGGGAAGTGAATTTATGTGAACTGCTTAAGGGGCGGGATTAATGCGCCAACTTGGAACCCTGAGAAAAATATCTGAGTTCAGTTTTCCATTGTTCTGTTATTTCTGCCGTTTGAGGTCTTTGCTCAACCTCTTCTGAGGTTTGCTTGTTTCCTGGAACTCTGACCAGAAAACCTTTCTCAAAAACCCTCATGCTCATTGAAATCATTGCTTCAACAATTTATCAAGGAGGTAGTACATAAGCCAGGGGAAGTGAATCTTATACACATAGTTACATATATATATATATATTAACTGTTTAGGGGGTGGGATTGATGCACCAACTTGAAGCCCTGGGAAGAATATTTGAGCTTCGTTTCCTACTTTCCTACTGCTACTCTTTTCAGATCCTTGCTTAACCTCTTGTGAGGCTTGCCACTGCTGCTGCTACTACTATACTACCACCACAACCGCCACCGCCACCACCACGACGACGACAACGACGAAATCCCTCAAACCCAGCTAGTTTTGGTGGAGGTTAACCCTCGACTGTTTATCAAGATCAAACATTACATGCAGGAGGACCATAACCAGCTTTAGCCACTTTAGCCAGGAGTATCAGAATCTCCTCGGGCTTCGGATTTGTCTGGGCAAGCTCCACGACCTCTTCAACGTCGTCACTTTGCATGGGATCATCCACAACGATGTCTTTTGATTCTGTGCGTCTGGAATGGCTGTTCCGCGAACTTCCTCCAAATTCCTCAAGAATCATTCGGGAAAGCTGGATTGGAACTACTTTCTCCGAAGCTGGCGTGAGAAATAATGCATAACTCAAAAAAAGGAAAAGAATCTGATCTAATGAAACTTGCACGAGTACAAGTTCAGTTTCACACGGTGGAATCTGAGTCTCCTTTGGTGCTAGTTTGGTCTTAGCAGGTGTTGAAGCCTTTTTGTGGGCAGGTGCCTTCCCCTTCTCCACCGATTCCTCAGAAGGACATGACTGGCAAGTGCCACAACAAAGTGGTGCGCACGAAAAGCACAAAGCACGAGTAGAGACCAAGCATCAGCCGATGAAAACGGAGTCGCCTTGGGCTCACGATTTGCCTTCGCAACTTCGGCTGCCTCCTTGTGATGACCATCTCTCACCGGCTCCCCTCTAGCGCTCTTGATGGTGCTTTTGCGGAGCACACACAACTATTATTTTGGTCACTTCCCAGTTGCTTGAAGCTTAGATTAAGCTACACATAAGAGGTAAACGTCGTGCTGTGAAAGGGAAAGGACCCCTTGTAACTCCAGTAACCACCTGTTCAACCATATCAATAACCAATGTAGCATCGTTCCTCGGTTTGTTGAAAAGACCAAAATGGAAAAATATACTTTTGCCAGCAATATCTCTCTCCTTCGGCTCCAGATTGGGGTCGGCAGGTTCCACAACCTCTTCAATGTCGTCGCTTTTCATGGGATCGTCCACAAGGCTCTCTTCTGATTCTGTGTGTCTAGAGGGGCTGCCCGGCAAAATTCCTCCAAACTCCTCAAGAATTATTCGAGAAAAACTGGTTTGGAACTACTTTCTCTGCAGCCAACATGAGAAATAATGTATATATTTAAAAAAAAAAAGTATCTGATCTAATGAAACTGGCACAAGTACAAGTCCAGCTTCAGCCGGTGGAATTGGAGTCTCCTTTGGTGTTAGTTTGGTCTTCGCAGGTTTTGAAGCCTTTTTGTGGTCAGGTGCCTTCTCCGCCGATTCCTCAGAAGGACTCTTGACATGACTGGCAAGTGTTATGAAACAGACTTCATGAAGCTTACAAGTCTAAGCCACAACGAAGTATTGCACACGAAAAGCACAAAGAACAGAGACCAAGCTTCATCCGGTGGAAACGGAGTCGCCTGTGGCTCACGATTTGCCCTCGCGACTTCGGCTGCCTCCTTGTGATGACCATCTCTCACCGGGTCCTCTGTAGCACTCTTGATAGTGCTTTTGTGGAGCCCACACAACTATTATGTTTCCAGTTATCAATTTTTTAAAGCTTAGATTCACCTACGCGTAAGGTTAATGAGGGAGCAACAAATAAGTACAGCATCTATTAAAGATATGCGACGGGGGTCAAAGGGAAAAAATCATTTAAAAGGAATAGTGAACAACGAAAAGAAAAGGAGATTAGGGAAAGGACAACAGCAGCAGGGCGGGTGACCAGAGGACCATGAAAGGATGTTTGCAACAAGTAATCAAAAAACTTAAGCCAGGGTGTCCAATACTTGGCGCGGATATGCGATGGGGTGATAGTTAAAAGGTCGGTGGTGGCAGGCCCAGTGCATTGGCCAAAGTAGGGTAGATTTTGTGGCGCCACAGCAGGGTTGCAAGCTACAAAAGCCACCAGACGCTGAAGGCACTACAAAATACATCATCATCATCATCATCATCATCATCTTTCTTTCATACGCTCTTCCGTTGAAGATCGCGTGGACCCAGGTGGTCCATCTGGCGCCCCGAGGGGCCTTGCCCTCAGCAAAAGCTTTGGTCTAGCAGCCGAGCGAGTGTCGTGGCTCGCGCTGCTTCCCTTTGGTGGGACCTCAACATCAAATGCAGCATCACAAACTGCCGCAGGCAAGGGCATGTGTGGTCCTCGTTCAGACCGACGCCGATGCCATTAAATGGTTGGTAGGCACACCATCGCGTTGGATGGGCTTTCGAAATGAAGCTCACTGCGCACTTCTCAGTCAACGATCCAGCCTCATCCCACCAAGACCGATGCGCCACTTCCAAATGGCTGTTCATGTCCCGTGGCCAGCTGCCACAGATGATGCACTTCTTCACAAGTCGATGGCATAGACTGGGGTTGTCAACCAGGATCTGGGTGTCCAAGAGGTCAAGGCTTTGATGCCAGGCTCCATGCCAGTTGTCGTTGATGGCAGGGTCGTGGATGATGTTATGCACCTTTTCCTGCTCAGTCAGGATGGGAGACTCATCTGCCATGAGAGAGACCTCTTCTGCACCACCATGTGAAGTGCAGTTGAGCCAAAGAAGACAACTGTTCTCTTGAGCCACCAGGGGAAGAGCCGAGAACTTGACCGGCTCGTTGGAGTCGTCGAAGATCCACCACCAGTCCTTGTCCTTAATGGCGGTGCAATAATGTCCACTAGAAGCTTCAGCACCAAGATGATAGGAAACTCCAGTGACCGCGAAGGGGATGTAGTCGACCTCGAGCTTTTCTCCCAGGAAAAAAGGTAACCATACCTTAGAGTCCCAGGTCAGGCGGGTTTTGCTTTTCCTTCCCCTCGAATCGAAGCGGTCGATGTGCAGGCATGTAACATCCGAAGGATCAGTCAAGGCGTGTAACCCGAATGATGCGAGGCTCCAGTTGGAGACCAGCCCTTGCAGGTCGATGGGAAGCGTGCTCTTTTGTTCACTGCAGATGTATAGATGCTAAGGGGCATCCTTGGGCGTTGTGGTCCACCACCTTCATGGTGCCCTCCTCCTCCAGCTGGCTTTCCCAACAACAGCTGAGAAAAAAAGGGTTGGTTTGTTGAAGAAGGTGATGAGCAAAGTCAACCACGTCATGTTGCCGAAAAGGATTGGACCAATTGGCTAGGAGTGAGGTCCACTGCCCATCTGACCATAAAAGCAGCGATTGCCCTTTGGACACATCTGCCAGTTCCCCAAGAACCCCCGGGAAGTTGGACCATTGATCCACCTTCAACCCATCAGCCTGAAGGGCGCTCCAGGCTAGTCCAGTGACGACCGAGTTCATGTAACAGGCCGCTGCTGGATTCTGAAGTGTCCGAAGAGGCGGAGTAGAGGATGTCATCAAAGTTGATCCAGCATCTTGCCCAAGTGCTGAGCCAGAGGAGACCTGTGAATGCTGGCCGAGCGCATTCTGCCGAGCACGAGTTGCCAGAGTCCTGAATGACTCAATTGGTGCCACAATCCCCTCATCTCGTTGGCATGAGGATGAACCGGGATGATGGCTGACGGTGTCTCCGTCTCCGTGGTCATGACCTTCTGGATGTGCTGTTGGGGGCGAAGAGCTCCAAACCTCTTGTCCAGGGCTTCTTGCTGAAGCAGTGTGAGCATCCTTGTCACAGTCTGTGAGGCCTGGTTCAGGGTCAGAGGCGCCTCTTCCAGAGCCTCCATCACTTGCTTGGTCGAATTCCACTTCATCCGTGGAAACATGTACGAGTCCCCCTTCTCTGGCTCGAGCTGCAAAAAGTTCAGGCGTTGCAATGTCTGGATCAAGGGATCTGAGGAGGCCGTGGGTTGAAGCTTCTGGATCCTCTTCAGCAGCTCTTCCAGGAAGGAGGGTCTTCAGGACCAGGATCCTGACTGGATGGGTTCTCTCGGTCTGTGGCGTTTGCTGCCAGGTTTGTGTCTGCATCATCATGAATCACTCAACCTGGACCCACGCTCAAAAAAACGAAGAAGTCCGTCTCCATAGCCAGGCATTGGAGTGTGTCCTCGTGTCGAAGTACGAGACGGGTCATTGCCTGCAGTATCTGGTGTGGATTCGTCCTTGATGTTCTGGATCTTCCCCTGGCCTCTTTTTCCTTTTCCTTTGCCCTGGCCCTTCACGCCATTCGACATGGAAGACCTCGGGCGCTTTGCGCTCTGCTTGTCCTCGTCCACCTCCATCTTCACCCATTGGTTCAGAGCACTGATGTCCACACAGACCACAGATGTACCCCAGCCTCCTGATGAGGGACTTGTAGGCCATCAAGTGGTCGAAGGTGCCCCCATGTAGTCCTGAGATCACCAGAGGATGGTGCCATAGAAGAGGAGGAGCATCCGGAAGAGGTTCAGGACATTGTCCACCATCAATGTGGTGCCGTAGTGCTGCCAGCCAAAGAAAGGAGGCGTTGCAGTGTGCACATTGTGTGAGACTCGGCACCTGATCCCTGGCCGCCATGAAGGTCCGGGTTAGGGTTGAATGCGGATGCTCCAGATGTTGAGAAAGTCCAGCTGCCGTCACAAATTTCCGTGGACATTGGGCACAGGCAAATTGTGCATCCATCCTCTGAGGAGGTTGAAGGACCGGTGGAGGACAAGCCGGATACTGTTCCCTGTGTTTCCTGTAGGCCAGAGCAAGCCCGAGTTGCTTCTTCACTGGACAGGTGTGTGTCTTGGAGCGGAATTCCTGCCCACAAAGTTCACATGGTGAGCTGGTCCGAGCTCGAACAACATTGGGAAGGACTTCTCCCATCATGCCATAGATCTCCCCGTGATCCCGTCCCATGTGTGCTGACATTTGCTGCAATCTAGAAGACCAAAAGCCACAAAGAATGCACCTTTGGGTCAAAAAGTAGCAGAGGCTCCGGTCGTTGGCAAGTGGTGCCATGTCACCCTCATCATAGTAGGCCAGCAGCTTTTGCCGGTGTTCTTGAAGTTGTTCCGGCGGTGCCTTGGTGGAATCAAATTCAGAGCATGCATAGGAGCTGACATGATGCCGGAAGTTCTGCCAACTAATGAAGGATTCTCCACAATCACGACAGGTAGGTTTGCCATCAACTGCATCTCTAGCTATGTCCAAGGCGGGCCCAGCAGCATGTAGAACCCCGTGAACAAACATTTCATGACGTCGTAAGGTATAGAGAAACTGAAAGGTTTGCCCACACTGTTGACAGTCCAGTCCAGCCTCTGCAAGGGGAAGCTTCGGTTGCAAGTCCAAATCGCCAAGGTCCTGAAGCCAAGAATCAACAAGATTGACAGATGTCTCCAGTGTGTGGAGGTCAAGGAGGTGGAGAATGTCATGATCCTCAAGTTGGAGAATCCGGTCCTCATGCCTCTTCAGTTGAGAGGCCATCCGCTCCCGAAGCAAAAGCGCCGGGTGCTGAATGTGGTGGTCGGACAGAAAATCAATGTTTGTGTTGCGAGTCAAAAATGAGTGATCTCCAGCCGCTTGTCTCAACATGGTCGTCATGGTCTTGGAGAACATGGGAATGGAAGTGTGATCCACTCCTGTTGCATCCAGTCCATAAACACCTATTGGAAAAATGCATGTCTGCCAAAGAGCCACCTTCTGAGCCGAGTGCATACCATTCTTCGTGAACCAACGCTGCATCTGCTTGAAACGAACTTTGCAAGCTTGAAGACGTGCTTTCATGGTGTCTCGTTGAAAGTTGAAGTATCCCATTTGAACTCCCAAATATTCGTGCTTCTCTTTGATTGGAATGGCGCGCGAGCCACCTTCTGCCTTTGGTATGAGCAAAACTGAACGGTCCAGCTGCTTTTGCACATATCGTTTCTTGGCTTGGCTCTGTTGTTTGCCGCCCCAGCGAAGGATGACAGCTGATTTCTTCATGTTCACCGTCATGCCCAGACTTTCAAGGACAGAAATGAGTTTGCCAAAGAAAACAAGACCTTGTTGAAGTTCCTCAAGGGTACTAAAAACAAAGCATGCGTGGCCATCATCCGCATAAAAGGTGCAGGATTTCCGCATCCAGTCCTCTGTGGTTTCAGCCGCTACCAATTGCAGGATTAAGGCAATGAAACTCGCCCAAAAAAAGGGTGCACCTCTGCAGCCTTGTCGAACTCCCCTGAAGGTTGCTTGTTCCACCGAAAGTCCTTTCCACTGTATGATATAGGAAGTTTCGGTGCGCCACTGCGTCAACAGAGATGTGAGGTCATAGGGAAGTCCAAGGAGAGAGAATGCTGCAGCTAGGTGCTCCCTTGGCATGGCATCAAAGGCTCCTGTAAGATCCAGAAAGAGTTGACACCCTCCAAACACTACGGGGCGTTTCCCCCCTTGACTATTCACTTGACCGGCGTCATATCTCCATCGACGATGAAGCTCCGAGACCTCCCGAGAATGAGATTGAACCCGGGTGATTGCTTCCCAGGTCCCCCTACCCGGCAGGTAGGCAAATTGCGGAACACATGTCAGTGCTGGAAGTGTGATTTTCCTGGCTTCATGAACAAATAGGGACATGACCGTCTTGGAAAGTGGAGTCTGAAGGGCAATAGGTCGAAGAGCTTTCGGTTCTACTGGAGGTTTGTTTGGTTTGGGCAGCAAGACCACACAGCCTTTCCGCCATTCATGTGGAATGGTGCCTTGATGCATCCATTGTTCCAGCCAGGAGTAGACCAGTGGCCCCGCGGTGGAAGCCAGGGCCTTCCAAACAAAGCTTGGAGCCACATGTTGTGGAACGCTTGTTCGTCCATAAAGTTCTGGAAGCCCTTGAACCAGGTCCATGGCCTCGAAGGGAAGTTCTGCAAGATGGAAGCGTTGTCCTTGGAGATCTTTGCCGGCATAGAGGTCAGCCATGTATTCTTTAATCCAACCAAGCTCCTCCTCAGGTGCCATGAGATGCCCTCCTGTGCGTCGAAGCTGAGGTCGAGGAGGCCGTGCTTTGGGTGTGAGCTTGTTGACCACCTTGAAGTATTTGTGAGAGTCATTGTTGGCCCAGCGCCTTCGAGCCTCCTCAATGGTGTTTGAAAGCTTGGCTTTTTTGGCAGCCTTGGCTTTTGATTGGTTGTCCTTTTCCACCATTGAATTTTGGCAGCCTTGGCCCAGTGCCCAAAGAGCTGTTGGAGTCTGCTGGTGTAGTGCGTCCTGGTAGCAACTTCCGGGAGGGAGAGGCCAGGATGCCCCTCCGCCCATGTCCAGAAGGTAGGAGGACGGTCTTGTTGGCCCCTGGAGTGTGGAGCAAAGTCTTTGCAGCCATCGAGGAGAACGTGATTGAGAGCCTCAAGATCCAGAGGTTGGGTCCAGAGCGTCCCAATGGTGTGCTCCAACGAGGAACAGAAAGAACGCCAATCATCACTCTGAAGTTCCCAAAGCTGAAGAAGAAGATCTTGTTGCCCTCGTGGGATGCCATTCGGGGGTCAAGCCCAGGCCCTCCCCTTGTAGGGAACCGTGAAGAGAATGGGAACGTGGTCTTTGGAGTGTCCAAACATCTGGGGAGCTCCTTGAGGTAGAGGGGCTTCTTGGTGATGGAGTCGCTAGACTTGTGTCTGACCAAGACATAGTCAATCCTGGATTTGTTGGAGTGACCTCCGGTGTAGGTGGGGCCCAATGTGGTGTCCCAAGTGTTGATGGCAGTGAGGCCATGCTGAACTAGTAGGTCACCAAGAAGACTTGAGTCTGGGTGCCTTGGCCCAGAGCGCCGACCCTTTGCGTCCTGAAAGTCATTGAGGCCAACACAGTGCTGAATCCGATGGAGGCTTGTGTTCAGGTCACCTGCAAGGATCATCACATTCCGTTGAGGAAGTCCGGCCACTAATTGATGACATGCGTGAATGAGTTCTTGTCGATGTCGAAGACAGGCAGGATCATTTTGGATCCAGGCATGCTGATAGGCACTGATGATGTCCAGTCCCGTGGATGGGAGATAAAGTCGAACATGAAGAAGTCGTCCTGGAACAACTGCACGCCAGGAAATCTTGTCAAGGTTGCAGAACCCTTTTCTGATGATGATCATGGTGCCACCGGTCTTCCCGTTGGAGCCACTATGGATGTAGGCGTATATTGTTGTCAGACCAGTCACCACTGAAGCCCCAACGAGTGTCCTGCAGAAGCATGATGTCGAGGTGTTGGGAGAGCATCCACTGACGAAGGATGTCAAACTTGTAGTTGCTGAGAGAGCAAATGTTCCAGCAAAAGCCAGTAAGGCGATTTTTCCGTAGCTTAGCTGGAGGGATGACATTTGGTGTCAATGATGAGCTCGTGGTGTCCTGAGTCCTTAGTGGTGAGATGGCTTCAATCCCCAGCATGGCAGCCGGTGCACAGATATAGGATTTCTTTTTACGCTGAGGGTTGTGATGGTTGAGATGTGCGGAAGTAGGTCCAGGGCCACTAGGCTTCGCCATAGAAGGTTGTGGTTGGGCCAGCAATTTGTTGGCTCCCCCGAACCCCGTGGCGGGTTCGGAACCCTCAGGCCTCCAAGGCAAGGCATATGGATTGAGCTTGGTCGTGAAGTGCTCGTTGAAGATCAAAAAGAAGCCTCCAGCAAGGAGGAAGATGCTTGCCTTGGCCGGGGACTTGGGACCCCGGTGAGTGTCCAGGCGCATGCAAGGACCGTAATCCCCTGCAGGAAGAACGGATCAGGTAGGTCAAGAACCCGAGGAGGAGCCAGAAGCAGAAGGCAATCTCAAAGGTCACCACGGTGTTGAAGGCCCTGAACTGGTAGGTGAAGATCAAGTCGAGAAAGGGACCTCCAGGAAGAAGATCTCGAAATTGCCGGGAGTAGGACCTGCACGTCAGGAGCACCGGGTCCAGGGCCTTCAAGAGCTCCCTGTCCATGTGGCGGAAGGGGTCCGCACTAGCTCAGGCCATTGGGCATGACCTGAGCCTGAACACTCATGGCCCTTATCATCATCATCATCATCATCGAAAACTACACACCCTATTGCCCAGTCAATGAGGGGCTCGTCCACCACAGGGCAATGAAAGGATGCTTGCAACATAAATTCAAAAAGACTTAGCCGAGTGCGTGCAATATTTTGTGCGGGCGATGGGCGCCTGGGTGAGCTTCGTGGTAGGCCCACCGATTGGCATGGGGCGCAGGGCGCAGCGCCTCCACCCAAGAGCGAACCAACATCAAAAGCCATTGAACTCAAACGGTACCACAAAATAGATCACAGTCGAAACTATACACCCCATTGCCTCATCAATGAAGAGCACTCAGAAAGTGACGCAAGGAAGGGGATCAAAGCACCAGGGGACCAAAGGACCAGGGGACGAATGGACCAGGGGACCAATGCAGGGAACCTAGTAGGGATGTCTTTTGATTACGTTCTTATATATTTGTTGGTCCTGATCTTAGTTGTTGTTTGACCCTGATAATTTTCCCTGTAACTACAGTAACCACCTGTTCAACCAAGTCAAAAATCCTCTAGCATTGTTCCTCGGTTTGTTGAAGAAGGCTAAATTTGAAAAAATAGACTTTGCCAGCAGTATCTCCTTCGGCTCCAGATTGGGGTCGGCAGGTTCCACAACCACTTCAATGTCATCGTTTTCCATGGGATCGTCCGCAACGCTCTCTTCTAATTCTGTGTGTCTAGAGCGGCTGCCCGGCAAACTTCCTCCAAACTCCTCAGAAAGAATCACTCAAGGAAAGCTGTTTACAACTTACAACAACATGTCTCCAAAGTAAGCTGACATGATGTGTATATATATATAGTGTATAACTCAAAAAAACACCGACTACCAAAAAACTGCATAAGTACAAATCCAGCTCAACCCAGTCAAAAATCCTGTAGTATCGTTCCTCAGTTTGTTGAAAAAGTGTTCAGATTTAATTTAGGATTTTTTCGTGGCAAGTGCAGTACGTTGTGGACCTTGAAGTCTAAATTTCCTGGCGGGCGCAGTACTCTTGAAATGCAAATTTCGTGGTAGGCGCACTACTTTGTGGACGCTGAAGCGCAAACTTCGTGGCAGGTGCAGCACTTTGTGAACTTGGAAGCGCAGATAGAGAGAGAGAGAGATATATATATATGTAGAGAGAGAGAGATAGTGAGAGAGAGAGAGAGATGTAGACAAATAAACAAACAGATAGATATATAGATAGATGGATAGATAGACAGACAGACAGACAGATAGATAGATAGATAGATAGGCAGATACAAAAATAGATAGATAGATAGATAGATAGATACATAGATAGATAGACAGATGGGTCGATAGATACATAGACAGATCGATCAATCGATAGGTAGATAGGTAGAGAGATAGACAAATAGATGGATAGGTGGACAGATATATACACAAATGGATAGAGCAGTGCGGAAAGAAGCTATGTTGAAACCTCGGTGAGGTTGAAGTGGCCCTCAGCATCCACCATTGTGGGGCTTTGCAGGTAATGTGTCATTAGACATGTTCATATTAACACCAAAGATAAACAGCTAAAGCCTTGAAAACCTCTTTGCGGCGTTGTCACAGCTAAGCGAAGGTGGGCCTTATCATCCACCTTTGTGGCGTTGTCAATGCAAAGAAGATAGTGGTTTGGTACTTACTGTAGTCGTCCCGTAGCAATCGTGTAAATTAAGAAAACGGGAGGGGGCGCGGGGCAGGGCGCAGCGCCTCCCCCGCAATGAAAACAAAGTATAGTCAGCAACTCGGCACTGAGAGCAAGCGCCGAAGTTTAAAGGTCTGCACCGTCGGACCCGCACCTACCCCCGGGTGGCTCACACAAGGTTTGCACCTGCCTCCTCTATATAAATTGACTCAAAAGCCACAAGCCACAAGCCACACGCGTCAGAAGCCCTCGTCCTTGAATCCAGAAGCCGCGAAAGCCACGAAAGCCACACAGAAGCCAGAAGCCGCGAACGCCACGAAAGCCAAAAGCCACAGAAGCCAGAAGCCACGAAAAAAAAAAAAAAAAAAAAACTTACCAAACAAACATTAAGAAAATCCTAAGTTCAATAAACGGCCCTCCGTTGAAAAAGGTGAAAACAGACAAAATAATATATATATAGAGCTAGCAGTATCTCCGCATTATCTCCTTCGGCTCCTGAATGGGGTCGGCAGGTTCCACAACCTCTTCAACGTCGTCGTTTTCCATAGGATAGTCCACAACGCTCTCTTCTGATTCTGTGTGTCTACAGCGGCTGCCCGGCAAACTTCCTCCAAACTCCTCAGAAAGAATCACTAAGGAAAGTTGGTTTATAATCACATGTCTCCAAAGCTGACGTGAGAGATAGTTTCTAACTAAAAAAGCCACAGACTACAAAAGACTGGATAAGTACAAATCCAGATCCAGCTTCGGCCAGTGGAATCGGAGTCTCTTTTGGTGCTAGTTTGGCAGGTTTCGGAGCCTTGTTGTGAGCAGGCGCCTTCTCCATCGATTCCTCAGAAGGATTGGCGACATGACTGGCAAGTCTTATGAAACACACTTCATGAAGCTTACAAGTCTAAGCCACAACAACGTGTTGCACAAGAAAGGCACAAAGCATGACCAAGCATCAGCCGATGAAAACGGAGTCGCCTTGGGCTCACGATTTGCCTTCGCAATTTCTGCTACCTCCTTGTGATGACCATCTCTCACCGAGTCCTCCGTAGCACTCTTGATAGTGCTTTTGCGGAGCACATTCAACTACTTTTTCGGTCACTTCTCAGTTGTTTGAAGCTTAGATTCACCTATGCGTAAGAGGTAAACCTTGTGCTACGAAAGGGAAAGGACCCCTTGCAACTAGGTACACGGCTGATAGACGGCCGTTAGTTCAATTAGGAATGATGTGCCCAACGTTTCTTCAGTGGAATCATGGTCAATTCCAAGCAGATTTGCCTGAAATGAGAGTTTCGCTGAGGCGAAATGCTGATTTTCAAGCATTTTTGAAACTACGTAACAAATTGGGCCGTCGGAAAGAACTGAGCCGGTGTGGCATAGGTCAAGCTTTGGCGCCATGCCCACATGTACACGTACTGCGGCGCGCTGCGGGTATTGAACGCTGAATGCAAAACTTAAGAGCATCAACTTCATGCATCAACTTCATGCAGCAAGTGCAACCGAACGTTAACATGCCCCACCCCACCCCCCACCCCATTCCCACACGTAGCATCCACATCCCCCTCAAGCAAACATGCAAAAACGACAGCGTAGAAAACGAAAAATCAAGAAAATGCAAGAAAACACCACGGCCGTCTATCAGCCGTGGGCCAACTACAGTAAACACCTGTTCAACCCCAGTAAAAAAAAATAACATGTATATGTCCTTGGTTTGTTGAAAAGATGCAAACATGAAAAGGACTTTAGCCAGCAATCTCTCCTTCAGCTCCAGATCGGGGTCGGCAGGTTCCACAACCTCTTCAATGTCGTCGCGTTCCATAGGATCGTCCACAAGGCTCTCTTCCGATTCCGTGTGTCTAGAGTGGCTGCCCGACGAACTTCCTCCAAACTCCTCAGACAAAAATATAGAAACAAATATATATATATATATACGCTACCCCCCCAAAGATCTACCGTTTTTGCCTCCCACATGCATGTCTAAGTCAATATTATAGATAGATCTACTAGCACTTCAAAGAGCTTGGTATCAAACAAAAAACCCACCTTTGCACATCAAGGATCACTGTCAGCCATCAAAATATAGATTTGACAGATTTACCTAAGTATTCTATACACAAAAGAACTTTTAAAAGGGAAAATGCAGAAGACATACCAAAGCTTTATTTGACAAAATTATCAATATGAGAATACAACAAATTGCTTAGTGATGATAAAGAAAGATTGATGTAGTTGAAGGACTTGACAATGAAGTATGTAATGATGACAATCTAAGCTGTATCAAAATCAAAATCAGTAGAAAAATAAAAGAACGGTAAAGGAATGAATATGTTGAATGACAATTTGACAGATGCAGCTAATATGTATATATAGCACTATTATACAAACACACCAAAAAATGCTAACACACTTCAAACAACGTTGAAAAAAGGTAATTACATATAGATAATGTATGCTCGAGGAATGCATTAATGGATTTTATGACACTGCTCTTATGAGTGGGACAACTGGAAAAATACGTTTGATAGGAAAAGATTTGTGAGATTATGGGAAGAGATGAGTTGACTGAAAGGGAGTATCCATTAAGGAAATGGAACAGGTATTATATATTGAGTTTGACAATCGAAACATTAACTTATAAATATGACCCACACAAAAGAAACCATCGCATAAGACTCTGCAATGGTTAGAAAGAAACATGTCTATTCCTTTTATTCCACAGCCTGAAGACATTGCAACAGAAACAGGAAGTAAACAAACCCAGAGTAAAAGCTCCCATTGATGATTACATCAATGAACGGAAAGAACACCCTAATTACAACATGATTGCTGACATAGGTGACATTCTCAAAACTGAAATACCTAAGGATCGTCAGGTTAGGATATATTTTTTGGTGGCAAGAGACAATGGCCTAACCAATTTTTTTGATCTGTCATAAAGTGTTTATGAAGAAGGTACTAAATATATACCGAGTAGAAGTTATAGCTGAATCAAAACAAAAGTTGAACAAAGTCAAATATACAATCCAAACACAGAAGCCAGTTACACAGAACTTCGGTTGAGGGTTGCATTACAATTGAGAATGAAGACAATATGAACTTAGCAATGTATAGCTTCAACAAGGAAGTAGTTAACCCAGTTAACTGTTTTCTAAAGTTATACTATTCAATTAAGACATTGATCTTAAAACTTTGCATCAACCGTGGAATGAGAGGTTATGATATAGATATCTAAAAAGGTCCCTAAGGCAATGACTGAAATTGATCTTACCAGAGCATTTACACCCATTATAAAACAATGAAACTTTATCAGTTTGATACATTGAATCAAGTTATATAAAAATGTGGTCGATTATGATTTTTTCCCGCGAGCACAAATGGGCTCCCAACAGCCACGCGAAAGGAGGAATACATAAAAAACAATAGAGACATGGAATTACAAAGCTTGCAGAGCTGTGAAAGAAATAGGTGAAACAGAACACTCCACCAAAAGTACAAGAAAATAGAAACCAGCCGAACATGCAAATACACTACGCATCAGACAGCACAATAATCGAGAGTACCAAGAGCAGTACCATGAGAGGCTCGAAAGCCTTTGGGACTCGGCACAGTCCCATGCATCACAAGCCTGTGGCAAAAGGACCAGTTCTATTTATGGCGGCCTGTTTGATGTTACAAAGAAGTTGGTAGTCCGATATATCAAAAACAGTGTGGGGTCCAAACAGAAAAGAGCAGAAATCCTTGTAAGTTTCAACAACCCAATCTGCTCGGGGCCTACCTGGTCTCCGAAAAAGCGGAAATTTAGGTGTGACACCGTCAAATTCAAGAACGACTTGGACCAGCGGATCCGACCTAGGTGCCCTCAAAATATGGCCAAATAGGTGGCACTTTGCTTTTTTCCATGTCTGCCCGAAAGGTTCAAAAGTACATCCGTGCTCCTGCTGGATGCTAGCTTACATTCGAGTGTTAGTTTGTTCCCGATCAATGAACGTTGGAGGGATACCTAAGATCCTTCTGAGAGATTTGTGTTGAAAGGCATTGAGTCGAGATATATCAGCAGTAGTTAGCTGCATGCATTCAAGACTGTAGAGAAGTTTAGACCTAACAATAGCGTTGAAGACTTGTATTTTCCATTTGACACTGGTGTTAGCTTTTGACCAGAATATCTTAAGCCTGTTACACATTGCTATGCAGTCGCTCAGTCTATTGGAGATCTCTGCCCGGTTGTCAAAGGAGTCCGACAACAGGGTGTCGAGATATGTAGCAGAGCTTTTCCGTGGAACCTTGGTACCTTGTGCTGGGCCATTCGGAGCGAAATGAACGGAGGATTGCAGTTGGTTAGAGGTGAGATTTATGCATTTGTCATAGTTCAGTTTTAGCCCAAAATATGCAGAATGCCGTTCGATAGCATGTAGTAGAACATTAATGCAATGAGTATTGGCACCGAATATTAAAGTGTCATCAGCATACAGAATCTCAGCAAAATGAATGCAGTTTATTGGTTGCTGCTGTCTGGGGGTGTTAAGTTCTTGCTTCAAATCAGCAAACAACGCTCCCATGACCAAACAGAAAAGATACGGGGATAATGGGCATCCTTGACGGATCCCCGCACCTTGGCATTTCCAAGAGGAATCTTGCCCATTCATAGACACCTTGAATTTGGGTTCCCTATAAAAGCTTTGGATAAGACCGATTATGCGGTTGGGGACCTTTAATCGAAACAAGGTTTCAATCATTTTATCTTGGAACACTTTATCAAACGCCTTTTCCCAATCAAGAAGGATGAGGGTCCTGGCACTGTGCGATTTTTCAGAGAGGTCTTGAATACGTCTTGCTAAGAAAATAGACTGAGCAGTGCTCCTGGCTTTCCGAAAGCTATATTGCGTTTGCATGAGCCACCTATCCAGACCTTTGTCTAGCCGCTCTTTCACTAAGGCAGCTACAAGTTTATAGCATGATGTTAGAAGGGAGATGGGGCGATAATTAGACAACAACGAGGAGATGGGTCGATTATGATAGGTCGACTAAGTTTATTTTCTTGTAGGCAGAGAATTACTGTTGCAAATGGTGTAATGTTGTTCAAAAAGGATATAATGTTATCTACCAGGCAATATGAGACAATTTTAAGGACGAAAAGGTCAAGAGAAGAGCCAAGATACTGGCATGCAAAGAACCCAGTAAAACTCACAATATTAATTACAGAGGTATTCAGAATCAGTTGGGGAACACGAGCAAACATATCTGATAATCAAGAAGAAGACAAACTCAAAAAAATGTTGATAGGTGTTGTTAACTACGGATTCCTGGAAAAGGAAGCCTTGACAATTTTTTGGACCCGGATTCAAGACTCAAGATGCCTGGAAAAAAGTTTTCCAGCAATCTATTTGTGTTCTTCTCATAGACTGCCAAAACAAAAACCCAAAACAAAAAAAACATAATCTTTGGTTTCAGCCTGACAGATTGTTTTTTGTGTTCATTGAGTTTTTTGTTTTTTTGGTTTCACTCATCAAACAAACAAAAAACACAAGGTGCGTTTTGGTGTTTGCTTTGGTCTATGCAACCGTGAATCACACAAGGTTTTTTGTTTTCGCTTATTTGTTTATCGGAAAAAATGGGTTTTGGTGCATTGTTCTTTTGGTTTTGGCAGTCTATGAGAAGAAAACAAACAGACAAAAGGTAGAGCGACAAATAAGGACTCACGATTCAAGATTGCTAGAATAACTTTTCCTAGGCATCTTGAATCTTGAATCCAGGTCCACAAAAGCCAGTTTTCTTTTTTTAGAAATACTAGTTGTTCTATTTATTTAACGTGTTTATCTCCAAACTATGCAATATATATATATATCATTAGAATTCATGAAAAAAGGTAGGTCGGGACATGGATGTAGAGGAGTGAGGAGTCCTTGCTTTAAGATGTATTACAAAGAAACGAAAAAGGTAGATCTTTGGGGGAATATACATATATATATATATAATTATATATACATATTCAGGAAAAGCTGGTTTATAACCACATGTCTCCAAAGCTGACATGAGATATAGTTTATATATAACTTTAAATAAAAAAAAAAACAGACTACAAAAAACTGAAAAAGTACAAACCCAGCTTCGGCCAGTGGAATCGCAGTCTCGTTTGGTGCTAGTTTCGTCTTCGCAGGTGTTGAAGCTTTGTTGTGAGCAGGTGCCTTCTTCACCGATTCCTCAGAAGGATTGGTGACATGACTGGCAAGTCTTATGA